TGTTTGATTTGATTAGGTTGAGTGCGGATGAATGTGTNGAGATTTCCTATTGGGTATGTGAAATGAACTCTCTTTCTCGTCCTCATAGTGCAAAGTGTTTGATTTGATTAGGTTGAGTGCGGATGAATGTGTTTATAGGCTTTTGATACACTGAAGACTTGTCATGAGCTATGATCTTGTCCAAGGAACTATATTCATCTCTCAGTTCCTACAAATCAATCAAACACCTAGACACCATTGGTTGAATGGAATGAATCGATTTGGCATATCCATTAGAATGAACTCTATGGATTAGACAACCCTCTTTTTACTTGCATATTTCTCAAAACCCAAACCACCGAACTTCAAATCACAATATTTTTTTTTTTTCCTTTTTACAAATCACTTTCAAAAACACATGACCTAACCTTCCCTAAGGAGACGATGTTAGAATTTTTTTCGAGTTAAAACATAACACTCTAAGTCTTTCCACGCTTGGGGAGCATTTTTACATATTCGCATACGAGTTTGAATGAGAGTGACACTCACCCTTTATTATAAGTCATACGCATAATTGGGTTCGTGTGAGAAGCAAGAGAAACAACCAAGCATTTTTGACACTATTATCGGGGAAGGCAAAGTGTCAAGTTTCAAAGGTGATTTGGAACGACAAAGGTAGGTCTCATGATTTTTATCACGGGTCAAGGTATGTCGTTTCAATTGTAAATAGGTTGTTGTAGTTTTTGTTTTATGTAATGTTTCTTAATTTTTATGAAAATGTGTTAAATACCCCGAATTTTAAAAATGTGTGTGAAATTTGTGATGAGTCTAAGCACATCACTGGTGAGTTTCTATTAAATTATACGTTTTAAGACTTTGCATGTGAGGGATCAATTTAAATATTGACCCTCAAAAAATTTTAACTGGACCATTATGTTGCAACGAGCCATCCAAGTTATGGTTGAGAGAACAAATCTTGTAATTTTTCATTTGATCTTATACCACCAAATGCATTTTGACACTATCCAACATTTGAAAACTCAATCAAACAAAAATTAAAAAATATTCCTTACAAGTTTATACAATACCAAATATAAGTCAATACACAGGTATTCCAACTTTATGAAATTAGAGATGACCTTATTGTATTGACTAATGTCATAAATACTATGTGTGAAAAACAACATCTTGAACATAGTAAATGTATTGATGATGATCATTTTTATGGAATGTAAATTGATCTTGAATCTCCATCCGCTCTTGATTATGAAAAATTTAATAAAGTTATTATCTCACCCCAGGCTAATAAGTCCAAAGTCAATTTGTCATCAGATAGTGGTGTTGGGGTTCACAATTTTTAACTTGGAGAGGGCATTGAAATGAAGTTAAGTGCAGAAATTTATAAAAAAAAATTATATGCTCCATTGTTGAAATTGCATAAACTCTTGTGCACCTCTGTTTTGTTGAGGATTTTTAATCATTATCTTTTGTATTGTTGGATAGACTAGGTAAAAAAAAACATTTATACTTCAAAAATTTTTAAATCGAAAAAAAATCGATAGACTCAAGCTCATATCTGAATTGAACCAAATCGACATGAGTAAAGAGAAATGTTTAAAAATGCCTTCTTTCTTTCATCTAAAAAAAAGTAAGTAAAGATAAAAGAGAAAACAAAGTAGAGGTAAGAAAAAAAAAAAAAAACAGGAGAACGACTTGTGCAAGCTCCTGTACAACCTCCTTTCTTTCTGTGTAGAGGTAAGGAAATGCCTTCTTTCTTTCTGTGTGCTAGCTCCTGTACAACCTCAGCAAGATGTTTCTCATTCTTAATGCTTTGAACCCATTTCTTGTTGATGTGAACTCGCTCAATGCTCTGCTTCAAGGTCCTAGCAATATAAGGCTTAGAACGACTGGCGAAAAACTCTTCTACTTCTTTTGCCTTTTCATACGAAGAGAACTATAGGGCACATAAAATGGGAAAAACAAAAAGGAGAGATTAGACGCAAATAGGACTATAATGCTTGATATACACGACTTGAGTGAATCCTCAATTCGTGACTAAAGAGAGAGAGAGAGTACTCAAAAGTGACACAACTGCACTGATGAAGCGAGTTATCAGAAAACCAGAACCATTAGTCTTTGAGATGTGATCCCAATTGTTCTGCACCCTAACCAATACAAGGAATAACAAAGTTAGAAAACAAGTTGTTAAACTCCTGGGAAAATATTCCCTGAAACAACTTGTGTATAATTAGCCTTGTGCATAAAGTTAATTTCGGTGACGCTATGGAACAAACACAAGGAGTTGAACCCCATAACAAACATATTGTCATGTTCTTTGCAATGTATCCTTTAGAACATATCCATCTCCAAGTAAAAGAGTGATACAGTAATTTCTCATGATCCACATATTATTTGCCACATAAATCTCAAGAGTTAGCTTCTCCTCTTTTGTTCTTGCCACATACTAAGAAAGAAAAGAAAATTGATATTTGTTTCTTCCGATATATCAACGTAATATGGATGTTTTGAAGTCAAATAGTTGGTAATATGATCTTTGATAAATGTGTTTAGTAGTTCCCTTAGTATGGTTTCAAACATATCCTGCTTAACACAAGCTACTCTAATAAAAACCATCAACCTGAAGCAAAAGTTATTAAAATGCACCTGCCATTCTTTCGGAGAAATTTTACTTTTTGGCAATCTCAACTTGCATAACCTCAGACGCCAACTCTTCAAACAAACCACCCCAAACATGAAAATTGAAGGTTACTACACTTCACAAACTCTTCTATTTCTTCAGGGTCATAGACTTTCAACTGCTTAGTTTATTGAATGCAACCCAATTATAATTTCAATACCAATATCTGATTCTTACAATAAACTCTACATGTAAACTTCATAGATCTGGTCTAATCTTAATCCAAGAATAAATATCTATTTTGGGCCATCGATGTATCTTTTTTCTTTACCTAAACATCATCCTCTCTGTTTCTGCGTCCCTCCAATTCTTTTCTCCCTCTCTCTATCTCCAAATTTTTTTTCCTTTTTAACTTGTCAAATGAGCCCCTAATTTATTGGAAACAACCTGGTTTTAAAAAATTTACACCCTTTTTTGTTAAATTGACTCCAAATACCATGAAACTAGACTTTAGTTCTAAAAAAATACCTCTCTGGCTTAGTTGGGTTCTCTCTCTCTCCCTACTCCAACAACCCCAGTATCCAACCTGTCCCAAACCACCACTTGCTCCACGTCCCAAACACCGCTGTAACCACCAGCTGCACCTATACCCAAATCCACCATTTAACTCATCACCTCCACCAAATCCACATAATTGCATTGCCCGCTAATGATCAAAGTCACACACAGTCAATGGAAGCTGTACTTTACAAAAAATCGACGACCCAACCCTACCCCCAACTCTCTCGAGTCTCCCTAATTTTTTTGCAGAAAACCATGAGTGTGCAAGATATAAGTACAGTATTGATTGCTTCGGAGTAGATTTTAGAAATGGTTGGATGTGGAGAAGAGAAAGGAACAACGTTGAGTTCACTCCAACATGAGATGTCACTGCCTTATACATCAACACCTGTGACAACGCCAGACAGGCACACATCTTTCTCACTCTCTCTCTATATGCCTATGGATATTTGTATGCTTATGTGTAGCAATATATTTTTCATTCTCAAGTATCAACTTCCATTACTTCTCTATCTAACCCTCTCATTTACTAAAAATATGTGCAGTATCTGAAGAAGAAGGGGGCTGCAAGGGTTTTGTTGAAGGTGGGTCAGTTGCTTAGGGGGGTGGGTGCAAGGAGGGGAGGGATGACAAGAGAGGAGGGAGCTGTGAGGATTCTTCAAATAAGGAGGTTCAGCGGGGGAGGAGTCACCGATGGAGGTGGGGGTCTTGTCTCACACTTACCAACTCTAACCAAAATTTTTGACCTATTTTGACCAAGATTTTGAAGGGCAAACAAGTTATTTCTCAATAAAAATCCTTGATTGAGGCCCAATTTATTTTGGAAATATCGGGCTATAGTATCATTAGAGCATTGTTATGGTATCCAACCCAAGACCAATTGGCTATAGATGGAGTAGCCTTCAAGTATATAAACCAACTTGGGTCTGCTTAATTTTCTGATATGGGATAGCTCCCTCCACACCCTCCCCCATGTGCGACCCAGACTCAAACGTTGGCTAACAAACCAAACTGAAATAGACAGATAAACAATCCATAGAATTTAACTAGGTGAGAGACTTAGCCCACCACCTACTAAAGGCCCAGCTCTGATACTATGTTATAGCATTTAACCCAAAACCAATTAGCAATGGGTGGACCCTCAAGTATGTAAACCAACCTTAGGTTTACTTAATTTTCCGATGTGGGATAGGTTTCTTCACAAACATAACTTAGTGGATCGGAGTGCCATTTATCCTTTTTATGTCATGAAAGTCGATTATTATTGCTACCAAATATACCATTCCTCTACATGAATGATCTACAATAAGATTCATAGTCTCATTTATTTTAACTTCTCTAGTGATACAAGTTATGCACCAATTACATTTTTCCCCTTCCCGGAATAGATGTAAATGCCCTGTGCATATTACCTCAGCATGTTCCCTCCGACATTCATGCAGAACTATTTAACCAATGTCTCCAAGTTGTTGGGATGATTTTAATCAGGATATTGACCAAAGAAAATGTGTGATGCACAAATATTGTAACTTCTTAACAAACAATATGGGTCTATGCTTCTAAAATGGCAAGAAGATGAAAGTACCTGGAGCCATTTCCAAGCTGTTTCACACCCTTCCCTACTAACAGCAAGTCCGAAAACAACATCTTGGCTTCAAACCTAAATAAATAAAGAAACTCAGAAACTTCATTCTTAATTTTTTTTTTTAATTAGTTTCAGAGTTTGGTCCTTAATTAGTAAGTAACACATCTACATTATTACCTCAGACGACAACAAGAAGTTGAGGATTTCAAGAATAATGTTGGGATCTCAACATGACGCTAATGAACCTACAAATCACGAAAGGGCACTTAATTGCCACAAAACAGATGTCTTACTGTTTTGCACAATTTAACAAGTGCAAATTGTTATTACCTAAAATTTGTGTCTTTTCCTGGCTAAGATCAGTCTCTCTATACCCTCTCAATAGTGATTCATAACCTTATTTATTTGATGTGGTCACATTCTGCATCACCGCCACATATGCAACCTGCAAAAGAGGAAAAGAAAACAAAAAAGGCAAGTCCATGAGATGCGGGACAAACAGGAACTGACCAGGTTTATACGAAAAATCCAGTTTGTGTTTATCAACCCTTCTCAAGTCGGGGGAGAACAGTTGTATCTCTATTGTTCAAGAAAGCATGGAAACACCTGCTTGCTTCATTTAGTGTCGCATCATGTCCAAAAATAGCTAGGGCGGTCAAAAGCTCCCCTCTCAACATGGCATCTAAGTGGCTCTTGCCATGTTTAGGATCCCATCCAAGTCTCCTGTTAAGAAATTCAAAAGCGTAAACATAACTATATATGTATCTATACACACACAAATACATGTGTTTGTATGTCATATTTGAAAAAAATGAGAGCAGCTACGCTCTAAGAGATTTTTTATTGAAAAAGGACTAGATCACTGGATCTAACTAAAACAACTAATATGTCGTAGAATATACTACCACAAATACTAATGTAGTATATAAAAGTGAGCTGCAAAAAGGTTTACCCAACAAATGCGTAATAATTCATAGCTTCAAAATATGTTCTAAGTTCAACATGCTTTGAAACAGTCAATCCAGATAATCCAGTAACTCCATAAGGTACTTACTCTGCAGAATACTAGAAAAGATGGATGAAAAAAAGTTTAATGTTATCCAGTAATGTGGGAGCAGCATCGGCTGCAATTCTTGCAACTTTATAACTCATCTGAGGAAACAAAAACTGGAATTAGAGCACAGAGAATGCCTGAATCAAAATAAATAAACATATCGAGGCGAACATTACACTTATCAAGTTAGACAGCACAGCGTAATCAATTTCCTCCCTGTAAGCACCCATTAAAGTAAGCAAAGATGTCAAAGACTGCTGACAAGCCATGCATAAGGCATATGAATCATCCAAGATGCCTGACAAAGAGAATAACTTAACGTTAGCTACTTCCTTTGACCACCAGCAAAATAAAAGTATAAATCAAAGATCAAAATTACCATATTTATCCAATGTAGATAAGCATTTGCTCTCTATTGCATATCTAAGCCTAGCTGATAGGTCCTCATCATATTTCACTCTATAGAAACCTGTGTGGTCCACATTAAGTTTTATCCAAGCACATACTGAATTACTTTTGCCTTCCTTTACTGTCTCCATGAGGCTGGCGTTGGATATTGAGAAACCCAAGAATTCATTTATATCAAGTGCTTCAGATTTTGTTTGCAATAAAAAACTTTGATGAGACTCGTATGAAACATAGCACAGTATTATTGGAACAATCCATTGACCATCCCCATGGGAACCGCTCAACAAGAATTGTGACTGCCATTAAAAAAAATAATATATTATCAGAATTTCAAAAGTAAATAACTCTATTATCAGATGTTCTAAAAGTATTCCATTATCCACAACGTAACAGGGGGTTAATAATTTCGGTTAAGAGATGTCACCTTACAAGTGCCAATTGAGTAACAAAAACAATGACAAGCGGAAGCCACAATGTGAAAACCTGCTCAAACTCCAATTTCAGATCTTTGACTTTGACAGACACAACCGGGTAACCTTTTTGCTTTGTCCACGAATTCATTAGCTTGTTCGCAGGTTCGCAGGATGCCTCCTCAAGGACATACCATAAATCTTCTGTCTTTGCATTTGAGCAAGCATGTCTTTGTATGTATGAAGCAAGAGCCCTCTTATAGCGTGAAAAAATCACAACAGAAACATGTAAAATCTCACATAAACAACTAATAAAAATGGGAATTTCAGAAAGGAAACGGAATGTAGATTAAGAGCATAAGTAATAACTGAAGAATCGATTAATGAGCAACAAAAAGTAGCATAGTTTTCCGTCATTTACAATTTTATACAATCATCATTTAAAGAGGCATCAATGATGATATGAACTACACTTAAAAACAAATTTTTACATCAACCAAACAGTCAGTTACAGAAAACTCCCATGATCACTGGCAATCAGGTCATGCTGGTAAATAAAAGCTGTAAACATAATAGAATGAGTCAACCAGCTACTTTCCTTGTGTTACATAAAAGGAAGTTCACAATACGTTTATCTTAGATAAAATATATCAGTGCACAGAAATACATGAAATCATCGTAAGCAAAAACAGTGGTGTCTTGAGTCCACAATTTCATCACAATCTCATGTTCCACAAACATACAGATTGTCAAATTGAGCTTTAAAGTTGAACCTATATGATGTCCCGCTTCAATTTTATAAGTAATAATGCTAATTTTGTTGTATCGTACATATGCTATGTAGGAAATGTACTTCTCAGTTACTATATTTATTGTAGCTGTTTCATAATGTAAAAGACTATCTTCGGTCATCGTGTCTGCGATGAATTAACCTCAAATCATGAAACAGGAACTCCTATATATTCATCTCCTGCCTAAACCACTTAACTTCTCATAGTCTTCCAAAGGTCAAAGAAAAGGACTTCTTTATTTATTAATTTTTTTTTTTGAACTAGAAAAAATCATTAAAATATCATAAATAAACTTGAGTCGAGTTACAATCTACATGAAGAACTTGTTTCAAATGACAAGGTGAATTAATCATCCAATCTCCAGAAAGAAAACATCAAATATCAGGCATGACTTCTTTATTTATTGCTTTTATCATTCTTATTCTGGTTGTAGGTCAATCTAAAGAATAGAAATCGCTGAAGATCTATTGCCCATTCAGTGATTATAGTCACACCTGATATTTTTCCCATTTATTTATAGTTGCTCTTGTTCCCTTAATTTCGCAGTTTAAAGAATTGAATGTGATTTTAATAAAGTTACACAAGGCATACAAGGAAATTATCTACTTCATAGGTTCATGGACTGAAAGAATAGGCTTTTTGGTTCAGATTTCCAAGTTTTCTCATTTCCTCTCAATTTCTCATTAGTTTAACTTAATTTGCGACCTGAGTATACAGATTGGTCCAAGTGAGACAAGTTGATCAACAAAATGTTAAGCGCCTACATGCTCATCAGTTCATCCATTGACACTAGAATGATAAAGTCTCTCTTCCATGATTGTGATATATTTGTGCACAAGAGTAAACATTATTTAATAGCATTAATCTAACTTATCTAACCTGTCAAAGGAAGAATCTCCCTCTTTTGTTTCTCTCGAGATTTAATAGTAAAGAGAATTGTATACCACATCAAATGATTAGAAAAACCGAAAATTGCTTCATGGTTAAAGGGCACCAATATATTTTCAGTTAGATACCCTAACATGGTATCAGGGTCTTGGGTTTTCAGTGACCCAAGTCTCTTATCCATCTAAATTTCCTGGTGGCTGATATGCATGTGTTTCTAGTTGTTTGTTGTGGGAGCCAGAGTCGCACTTGGGTATGGTGTAAAGAGAGCTTGTATCCTACATCAAATGATTAAAAGCACTCAAGATTAATTTATATAGTTAAGAGGCCTCTCTACTAATTGTCAATTAGTTTTATTGTTTTAAGTCAAATGTTCAATCCTTTATAAGAGATGGGTCTTGGGTGGTCAATCGAACAAGGCATTTACTCATTTATATTTTTCGGTTTGCTTGGTTGTCTGTTTGTTTGTTAGCCCTGCATACGAGTCCCAGTATCACGAGGTAGCTAGAGTTTGTATCCCACATATACTGATTATGACCACCCAAAGAAGTCTCATATAGTTAAGGGTCCTCTCTACTCTTTGTAAATTTATTTTGAATTGGATGCTCTTGTGATCATTACCAAAATAGAAACCCAATTGATCACCATTCTTTCAGGAAACTAATAATTTATTCAACAATCACAATTGTGGTACCCATGCATTTTACAGAATAAACTACTCCAATTCCTGATCTTTCGAAACAATCTCATATAGACATCACATAAGAAATCCATGCTTTTCAAATAACCTTCAATCAAATATAAGTTCCAATTCATTCTTACCCCAAACAACTCAAAGCAAATTTACATAACTAGGATAGAAGCCATTTTTACTGTCGTAGTTTGCCTCTGAAATGGAACAAAAAAGAAAACCTTTGACACTCAGCAAAACCCCACACGAACGAAAGGTAAAGCAACAAAGCAAAGCACCACGTGAAAGAATAAAAGACTAAAGACAGTCAGCAAACTAATCCAAACTAAATTACCAAACCTGAAAACATTCAGCACCAAGATAGCTCTGTAGCATTTGGATGACAGCTGCACCTTTTCTATAACTTATTGCATCGAATATCTCATCAATTTCACTTGCATGATTTATATCCACCTGCAAGAAAAATATTCATAGAGGTTTTAAGACAATTCGTTCCTAATTATTTATAGAATAAAAGTGTCAACTCTTATCTCCAGCAGTAGACCACACAAATACGATTAGTAGTCAACCATCCTTATTTACCTCAATGGGGTGTGATTCTGCAAGTCCATCCAGCCGTAGACCCTCAGTACTTTCTTCAAAAAATTGAGTCCAAATTTTCCATTCTGGGAACAAGCTATGTGCTGCTAAATAGCTCACCTGAACACAAAGCAAACATTTGTGAATGGTTTACCAGCAAATACTAGACAGATTTAACCATGAATATCTGATACCAAAGCAAAATACCCATGTTGCAAATCCCTCATTCAGCCATAAATGTGTCCACCAGTCCATTGTCACAAGATTGCCAAACCAATGGTGTGCAAGTTCATGGGCTACAACAATTGCAACCTGAACAAAAGCTAACGACATGATTCATCAATTTTGGCATTAGAGTAACAATATCAATATAAATCAACTTGAACACGATTCGGACTCGACTTTGCAAGGGTGCAGACTATGTGTACTTCTGCTCCACCTGGCCGACTGGCTGATGGAGAGCAGAATCTTGCTCAATACACAACATGAATCGCAGATTCCAAAACTTATGGCAACAACGCAAACCTCGGATCCTAACAGTCACCCCCTAAACATGAGTTTGTAGAACCTGGTTCAGTCACTTTTTAAATGAAGCACAAAAATCATGCAGGTGCAGAAGTTCGACCTGAATATCAAACAAAACCCTCCCAGCCACCGGGCTATGATGTCTGCTTCTAGCTCTGGTCGTCGTAAACCACTTCTCAATATTTATACACAATGCACCAGTTTTGAACCTAATTAGATATCATTTCACGCAAACCCATTAATGTATCATTTCACGCAAATCCATTAATCTATTTAACTCACGTGTACCTAAAGTTCACATTATTTTGTAGTTACTCGATAGAAAGAAAAATGACATTAAACCTATACAAAATACAGAAAATGCAATTGATCGCAAATTAAAGTTTGTCCAAACGAAAAATACCAGTGTTGAAGAGATTCATAAGGTTGGTATATAGTGGTATTGTATTAGACATATCCATGAAATATTTTTGCACATTAAAAGTTTCATCTATTAACTAGATTTCATATTTGAGTGTTTGTCTCCCACCGGTAATCGTGGACTATCCAGAAATTGACGAAATCAATACCGTTGATAAGACATCAATATTGGCATATATTTTTGATGCTTCTCTAGATATAAGGTATAATAGTGTAATCCAGATAAGTTTAAAATTGTGTGTCTTACATAATACAGTAATATAATTGTGTTGTCGGACAGTGAGGTCTTGGTTAAATTCAGTCACGAGTTCACAACCAGAAAGTCAATGATGAGTTTATGCCCTTTCCAGTGGATTTGTGCTGAGGTGAGTTATATCAAATATTTGTGAATCTAGATTAATAAATATGGTAAATAACTCTATATTGATGTGTGTATTCGTATATTGATTGTAAAGATAATAAATCTTGGTGCATACATTACTATTCAAGGGAGGAAGATGAATCTGTTAAAACTGAAGACTTGATGTTTTCTGCCCACATACTTTTCGGTAATGCATCCAACCCTTGTCAACAGCATTATCATGATTTTAAATGCAACAACCATAAATTGAGTGATGTTAGGACTAATATTTGTGAATATATTCAGCAACAAGTAATTGGAAGAGTATCGTGCAATGCAGGTGTACAATGCACAAATGATTCGTTTCTTAACTTGTTTGATTACATAAAAAAATTTGAAGATTGTGACAAGGTTCTTCATATATATCTTACTTTCATATACATATATATATATATACATATATATATATATATATATATACATATATATATATATATATATATATATTGCTTGAATTGCATCTATTGTTTTCATTTACTGTCATTGGGTCATTGAATTTTTAATGTAGATTTTTATTCTCATGAACGACAATAATCTACATTGGTACTTATGCATGATCGTTGTAGTTGAGCGTGAAGTTGTATTGCTTGACTCAATGCCGTTGATGGACAGCGACCATCGACTAATCGACGTGAAGAAGGTGGTTGTGTATCTTGATTCTTTACTTCAATGTACTGATTGTTTGTACAAGTCAATTCTCCACACATTCCCTTTGTTAGAAGTTGCATGGGCTCCAAACCAAGATGGAGGCAACTGGTAAGAGAATTTAAATAATAGAGAGATATAGAAAAGAGATACAGAGATGGATAGATAGAGAGAAATAGAAGTGCATGACAGATGCGAATTGGATTCAAATAATCTCCCTACAACCATATTCAGTTTTACTCAGGTATCTAACACATTTTGTAATTACTAGTTTATGCACACGTGCGTTGCACGTGAACTATATTATATAGTAAATCATATATATTAAAGTCGTGAATCACAATTCAAAAAATTCACTTGTTTGGTAAATATCAATAAATAATTACCGAATAACCACTAAACCCAATAAAAATACTAAAGAAATTAATATTTAAAGTTATTTCAAATTCATCATTCTTGATTTCATCCCTATATTTTTTGTGTATCAGCATAATAAAGCAAGCACATTTACAAGCTTCTTTATAGCAATGACAATGAATTTACCACTTAATATTTGTGAATCTTTTTTTCCTTTGGTATTCTTTATTTTCTCTTCTAAGCTAGTGTGTACAAGCCCAAAAAGCTACTAATTGGTTTGGGATAAAAATAAAAAATGAACAAATCAAATTCTAGAGCAACATCAAAAATTAAAAAACTAATAATAGAAGTACAAGTCAAAAGATTTTGTTTTAGTAAATAGATATACTAAATTAATCTAGAGATATTCCCGTTAATAGAAAACTTCATTGAAACGAAAAAATCTAATTGAAAAAATGTAATGCATTGTCATAAGACAGCTAAAAAATAAAATTAATCAAACAACTAATTAACTACCATGGGATTCTTAAGTACATATAGAGAGATTGTAAACCAATCCTCTCTCTCTCCCATTCTATTTGTATATGATGTCTATGTGTTTATAGGTTTTGTTGTAGTGGTAGGCAAAATTTTCCATAACAACTCCACTAATATCGGAATTACGCCAAACACAATAAAGTAGGTCAATTTTCACAAGGAATAATTATGTATTTGATGGAGATTACACAACTTTCGTGCTTGTACATACAAATATGCATGTATATATCAAATCTCTAACTCACATTATCAATTAAACAAAATATTGACACAGCCAAAATTCCTCACTTGCTTCCATGGCCCTTCGGGCAGAAATATTGGAGTCACTAGTATGTAATTTGATGCCTTAGCTAAAATTGAAGAAACAACAAATGCTCTAAAATCTCTTTTGCAAGAACCTAACCACTCCAAAATTTGCAACATACCATTTCTTCTACTTACACTAAAGTATTACAAGGAATGGACAATGCTCATGTGCAAATTGATTTTGGTCCATTGTTTTCTAAGAAATTTTGCATCTCACAAACTTGATCGTCAGATGTCAACTCAACATGGATACTTTTCAGTTGATCAATCAAATTAAGGAATGTAACTAACACAAAAATAAGGTACAAAAACTTCGTCTTATGCGATATTATTAAAATCATAGAATCAGTGAGAATATCATGAGTCATACACAAAACTATAGTATACCCCAACCACGTTTGTTTTTCTTTGGTCAATCATGAATGACAAAGCTATAGTATTCCCCATACAAACCACAAACAGTTTAAATCCTCACCATATTCACCCCCAAGAATTGCATAAAGCAAATCTTAGCAATTACTGAACCAAAACACATCTAAATATGGTAAATTTTATCAAAATCCAAATTCATCTCAAAATGCCGAATTAAAATTGACTTCCAAAAATTAATTTATTAACAAACCAACACAAATTAATCAAAAAACCTAATTTTTCCTAAATGAAAACGAACCCAAAATAGCTAGTTCCAAACATATTTGAGAACCCAATTGCAATTATCTAAACTATTTTGTAACACACATAAAATGCCTGAGAAGCCCTGATCGACATCAACATTTACAAATATGGGTTTAGGTCCAAATTGCCCCTAAAGGGTGGGTTTTGCGTGGTGGTGGGGGGTGAGGATAAGGGGTGATGGTTGTGATAGTGGTGTGGGGCTATGTTGATGGTAGATTGTGGAGAGAGAGAGAAAGAGAGAGAGCAAGAGAAATATACATGTGAAAGACTTCTAGCATTTTTGAAGTGGGTCTATTAGTGGGTCTCCAGAGTGGGTTGGCGTGGTGGTGGGGGGAGAGGATGAAGGGGTGGTGGTTGTGATAGTGGTGTGGGGCTGTGGTGATGGCAGATCACCGTTGTCGGAGTGCGTTTCGTGGTGGTGGGGGAGAGAGACCTAAGAGGGGCGGTGGTGTAGAGAGAGAGAGGGGTTAACAAAGAGATAGAGGGAAATATAGAAAGGGGGGAAGTTAAACAAATGGAAAATTTCCAACGGGAGTGGTTAGACGGGAGTTCCGTTTTAATGGAATCGATTTGCAGGAAGAAGTCAAAATTAATTTTGAACCTGCATGTGTTAACCTGATGTGCGTTCAACCCGTGTAATCAAAAGATGGTTATGGAGGATCCTAATTTTATGACCCGGCCAACCCAACAAATGTATCTTAATTGCCATTTAAGAACTTCATTCAATTTAAATGTACATATCTCAACTACCAAATAATCTATTTATCATTTTCTTTAAACTACATCCCAAAATTTCCTAAAGTCAACAAACCCATGTTCTTTAAAACACTACAAGTGTTGGAAGATGCATTTTGGATTCAATTGATCTCCCTAAAGCTATACATCGTTTTATTCAGGTGTCAAACCTTTTGTAATAATGTGCATACTACAATTGTGATATATATGCAATAGTTTGTTTATTAATAAATTATAGAAGTACTATATTGCGGATAATATATGCAATATTGTATTGAGTCAATGATCAGGTATTCTGCATTATTGGATAAAAATTGTGTCAAAATTTAGCAAACATTTTATAACTCCACCTATTTTTGTAATTTCATAGGTGGAGTAATGGCGGGTACGATCGGTGATAAAGGTAAATGTGTACTACTAGATCTTAATGTTACCGTAACAAATGATGAGTACGAGAATCATATGCAAAATGATCAAACAATTTTTTATCATGATGTCGAGGAAAATAGAGTCGATAGGTTGACAGTGGGTGAGGTAATGCAAATTACATTCATCACACATGAAGCGACTGGGAGTTTTATAACAATTACGCAAAATTTTTGGGATTTAGTGTTCGGAAGGATGACTTGAAGTGTAACAAAAATAAAATTCATGTATCAAAATGGTGGGTTTATTCAAGAGAAGGTCATCGATCACCCAAACACCTTGACTGTAGTGATTGCATCCGGGAACCAAGAGGCTTAACAAGGGTGGGATGTAACGCATCTTTTCGTGTCAAGTTTGACAATGAGTTTGAACAATGGGTTGTAAAGGAAATCATCCAGGAACATAATCACCAATTGGTTACACCCACGTGGTGTGTCATTCCTTCGATCGCATAGGCATGT